ATAAATAAATAAATATAAATTCATTATTAAATAGGTAAATAAATATAAATTCATTATTAAATAAATAAATATAAATTCATTATTAAATAAATAAATAAATAAATATAAATTCATTATTAAATAAATAAATAAATATAAATTCATTATTAAATAAATAAATATAAATTCATTATTAAATAAATAAATAAATATAAATTCATTATTAAATAAATAAATAAATATAAATTCATTATTGAATAAATAAATAAATATAAATTCATTATTAAATAAATAAATAAATATAAATTCATTATTAAATAAATAAATAAATATAAATTCATTATTAAATAAATAAATATAAATTCATTATTAAATAAATAAATATAAATTCATTACTGAATAAATAAATATAAATTCATTATTAAATAAATAAATAAATATAAATTCATTATTAAATAAATAAATAAATATAAATTCATTATTAAATAAATAAATATAAATTCATTACTGAATAAATAAATATAAATTCATTATTAAATAAATAAATAAATATAAATTCATTATTAAATAAATAAATATAAATTCGTTACTGAATAAATAAATATAAATTCATTATTGAATAAATATTAATATATAATATTGGATAAATATAACAAATTTATTATTAGATCAGATAAATATAGACTAACCTTTGGATCCTAGTACACCTAGAGGATTTGAAACATTCTTTAAGAAGTTAATTCTAAAATCTATTGGAATGTCTTTATACATTGGTGGGTGATATTCCTAAATGAAATTTTTTTTAAATATATAGAACAAAAACTTCATTTAATTTATGGCCATCGACAATCTGAGAAAATTGTCTTTTTCCATCATTTCTCTATCACTTAAATGCTTCATTCATTAAAAGCTTTGTATATCTTTTGTCTGCTTTTAAGCAATATGCAATTAATCCAACTGACCTTGATTTGTTTAAAGAATCCACAGATTATGGATGACAAGTAGAATAACTAACAGAAATGTCAAAAAAATGAAACATATAGGTCTAGGACCCCCCCGGCCTTACCCATGTATTGGATGTCAAGTTTACTCCTGTTTTTGGATCGTAAATCGTTCTTTCTAGTAGAAAATATCCTAAACCCATGACAAATCCACCTTCTGCCTGACCAATGTCTAATGCTGGATTCATACTGAAAATATAAACCAAGAAACTTATTGTGGTCTGGATATATGAAGTATTATAAGAGTATTCTCCCTTGTAAGTATTTTTCAGAAGGCCTAGACAATAAAATGGCAGTCAGAATTTTTATCTAAACCATTTTAACACAGCAGAACAATACTTTTACATAAATGTAGGCTACATTTTGTTCAAATATAATTCATGGACCATCGAGTAGCCTCCGTCATCCAGTTTACTTTATTAGCACAGTGTGACAGAATATATTCCTCAATTAACAATAGAAGTCTAGATGTCACAGACTACATGACAAGTTGATAATAGGTTATTTTGACAAACCTGATTCCACAATCGTATAATATGTCTGTTCTCAGTATTTGATATTCTCCTGTTAGGACGTCCAATTCAGCCTCACTGGCACAAACACCATACACGCTATAGTGAGCAAACGGACTGCTGTCTTTTGGTTCAGACCTAAAATAAACATGGATATAGAAAAAAGATATAAACAACGGATTTGTATTTGAAAAGGGTTGGTAGAAGTGGCAATCTCTTAAGTATATCAAGGACACTGATAGCATCAATATGCAACAATCCAATAAAAAAGTGTTTGATGATGTCACTAACGCAAAATATGCTTTATCACCTTCACAATTAGTGACATCATCAAACACTTAGTTTCAGAGGAATTGATAGAACCACAGACGTCTTAATGAAAATTTGAACAGTGTGAATTGATGCTATCAGTGTCCATGATACACATAGAAAATTTAGAAAACGTCTTTACAATCCCAGTTATTGAGATTAATGACTAAGGAGTGGGAACTTTTGAGGAAATTAAGAATATATTTACATGTATCTAGCAGTAATATCAACACCTTCACCATAACATTTCGCCACCAGATCTTTCCATTTTGGATTTTTCATTTTCGCTTTGACTGGCGCCATTCTGGCATTTAGAGCTTTACAGCATTCAATTACAGTCTACAATGAAAATCTCAAATTTAGTGCCAAAGCCATGTGACAAAATTTTCGTTGCCAAGACAGCGTTTCTTTGAGTTCCAATTGTGAAGAATCTTTAACTTGCACAGTTTGTAGCACACAGAGCTTTCTGGGTGAAAGTGTCACTTATCATTCAAATAAGTTTATTTTGAGAATACGGCCCAAGATGAACTCTTGAATCATCTCAAGTTAAGTTTTTGTGAAATTTTTCCCACGATTTTTCTGGATGAAATCACTCAAATATATTTTAAAATTATTTATATTATCAGATTACTGTATTTTTTAAATTCTGGTTTTTTCTAAGTTAAGTTTTGGGAACAGGGGTCTAAGCTGAAAGAGAAAAGGAATCTCTTACCATACAAATAAGTTCTGAAGTTATACTGCCTCCTGTAGTAATAGAGTTACTGTTAGAAACTGACGAGGTCTTCTTCACTCGAATAATATCCATTGGTACTCCCAGTTCATAGGCACAAACCTGAATCACCTAGGATAGAAACGAAATGGAATTTAACAGACAGGCAATGCCTTACAGTGTGCAATGAGGGAAATAATACCAGGTCAGTTTCATCAATACCTGGTATCCAGCTTTCGAGAGATCTCAACAAGCCAGACTGATTAGGATCTTGGTTGGTTTTCCCTAAAATCTCAACTAATATCAGGCTCTCACAGGTTAACATACAAGCGTTTTAGTTCTGAGCCACTCAAGTTACTGGCTCAGAGAAAGAAAAATCAACCACACCAACCTTTGTATTGATGCCCTGTCCAACATTGACTCCACCATGAAATATAGCAATAGTGCCGTCCCCATTACAAATAGTAACTAATGTATTATACTGAGCTCCTGCCCAACCAATACCAAATCTTAATGGCATCACTGACATACCACGTTTCTTCCATCTATTAGCCTGTAAAACACAGAGTCAACAAAATAATGAGCTGTCATCCTTTACCAAATCAGGGCACCAAAAAGAACGACAGAAGAACCAGAGAACTCCACAGGAGGACATGAAAGCAAAGATTTAATTATCAACAAGTCAAGTGTGTCAACTACCATGTAATTGTGAATATAGTGCACACCCATTGAAACTTTGTCACTATAAATAATACCCACTTCATCATGTGAAGTACTGTCTCCCACCTACTTACACTGTTAAAGGTTTCTATCTGTTGTTTTCTAGTAGCAATATCTGCTGATGATTCTAGTTGAGTCACCATAGGCTGTATATTACAATAGGTTAAAGTTGTTCCTCCAGGTGTTTTCTGAAACATCAAAATAATAATTAACCAAGCCTTGCCTAAAGTCGTAGTCCAAACCAATTGACCTTCAGCTTTTGTGTACCCTACAATTTGAGCTCCACTTTGATGAATACTGTTGCAGTTGACAGGCATGCTCAATCTACAGGCCAACCAAGCCTTGCCTACAGTGCTAGTCTAAACCATCAGACCTTTTGAGTACCCTACAATTTGAGCTCCACTTTAATAAGTACTGTTGCAAAGAAGAGCAGGCCATGGTCACTCTTCGAGACACTCTATTGGACACCCACTTCAGAGAATCCATAAAAGCTAATATCATTAATTTAGTAGATGTATGTAAATTCCGGTGGAAAAGGAAACTTAGGCAACTTATGGCAAATACATCTTTTTGTCTTGATAAACATTGAACTCAATCCTTCAATTGAACCGATTCTCTCAGATGTTGCCAGCATCTAGCAGTCTCTCAATGAATATCCAGTTGCTTTCAGATTCTGCTTGTCTCTAACTTACCTGTCCTTTTTGGTATAAATTGACTCTACGCAGCTCCAGTGGATCTTGCTTTAAAGTTTTAGCAACGTGTTCCATGATGGTTTCTATTATAAACATTGCTGGGGCTGATCCTGAAATATAAATTATTACAAGATGATGGTTACATTATATTATACTCCATTATAGTTTTAACAGTGAAGAAGTTTATGAAAACTCTTAAGAGAAGAAGTTTATTCTATGATAGCTGCAAATTGCTCTTTATTCTGGACAAATTTATTACTCTTCATGTCAAGATACCAGAATATACCTCTTATATATCTGTTAACACAATGGAAAATCTCTTATCCAATGGCATTACTATGAATCATTAGATGGAGGGGCCAAATATGGGCTACTGAATTGTCAAGGGGGGCTAGAAGGAATTATTAGTTGAAGGGGCTGATTTAGGGCCACTGAATTATCAAGGGGTAAGAACTGTGAGGGGAGCGAGCTAGACTGGTTTCAATATTCACTTACCAGGAGATCTAGCAGCTGTATTTGGTGGTTTGTTGGTTCTACAATTATACGGTGTCATATTCCAATTGGCACAGTAATATGCTGCAAAAACAAAACATGGACACTTATGATTAATATATTGAAGCAATAAATGGCTCAGATACACATAACAAAAAAGCTAGAAAATCTCTTAACAACCCCTTTAAATTTGGGGCCGAGTTTTAAAGACATAATTACCATTATCTAACCAGCCCTCCATGGCAAAATTGGACATATCATTTGGTGTGGTACCACAGTCAGCGTAATAATCTATCTTAATTCCATTTAATTTTCCATCATTGGTACATCCCACCTTTAAAAGATATAAATTCAATCTGTCCTGGGTTTGAAGCTGGATTGGACAATTGTTACGCTGGTGGATCCATTTGCTTGAAATAAGACCTCTGTTTGTTTCTGGTGTATTTTGTCCAGCAATTTTCAAACCAATCATACATGAAGTTGATATGAAGTGATGTTCAAAATGGCTGTATCTGCCTTATCACATGATTGATGGAAAATTTACTACAAGGGACCCTTGATGATCTGGATGTAAAAATTCACTGGCAATTTTAATCGCTGTCATCAGGGGAAAAAATTCACTTGTTTTTCCCATAGCATAATTCATAGAGCTACAGTGTTATATTTCATTGGCTAACCCATTAAATCTTTTAAGACTTCATATATTAAAGATTTAAGGCCAGTACAATCAAACACAGAAAATTACCTCATATCTTGCCAGGTAGGGAACTCTTTTACCAATCATTTTCATATTGGTGTGAAAATCAAGTTGTAGTCTCACTGGTCTGAAAAAACAATGAAATGGAGTAATATTTTTCTCCACAGCATGTGCTTTCGGAGACAACATCCAACGATCAAAAATGTGATGATCAGGGCTATCTCATTGACACATGGCTACATGTGGAGTTATCTTCTGATTTCAAAGAAATTGGAAAAGACTGTAAATACCTTCGTAATATATGAGCTGCCACAGCACAAGCAGAAGATATTGGAAAATTTCTGGATATTTTACTACCAAAAGCACCTCCAAGTCTTTTAACTTCAACTACAATACTGAAAAATATCAAAGAGAAACAGTGGTTTAAATATTTCTATCAGTTTTATTTAAGCTATCCATAACCCTTATCAGAATAAAAATTTTATGTACAGATAGTTTACAATCATATAAAAACTCTGCTGATCATAAAAGAGTCCAGTTTATCACACTATTAAGTGAAAATAAAATAATGCCCAATGTCACTGCACTCATGAATGAGCACCTCTATGTTCAGACCATAGTGCAGACCCGGACCCATTCTGTGTGTATTTGCTTCTTCCCATTTCTACTAATTCTGCATTGTATACAACACCTTGTTTGTTCTAAACCTTACATAATCAATTTGGCAAATATTATCTTTCAATCAAACCTTTGTGGAATATTGTCCTACTGAATCAAGGGTGGAGTCCAACTCACTCGTGCACCCCAGAGTTATCATTACATGATCTTACCTACTGTCTGGGATACCAAGTACCTGGCCTACAGATTGTTGAACACCATCAATCCACTGAGTACCAGCTAGAATGTTCATACCATCTTCTGTAGGGTAGCAGATACTAATCTGTAAATCCAATGTTAAATTAACTATGTGAACCAATGGTAAGGGCAGTCAAAAATAAGGCAAAGAGGGAAAACATTTTGAACTGTCTGAATATTCTATTTCTACCACATAAAAGACAGGAATAATTCTGTGCATGATGCTTCATCTTACGATCTTTCTGATTATAGGCTTACAGAGTTAAACTAGGAATCAGAGAATTACAGATGGACAAAACCTTCGACTTACTTGTGTCTCCATTTGATAATGATACTGATCACCACAATAAACTTGACCATTGATTTTCTGATCTGATTTGGCAATGGCACCTACAAAGTGAAATATCTTATCAGAAACATGTGTCAGCAGCATGAGATGAGCCTCTAAGAAATCAGATAACTTTTTAGAGGGATTGTAAAAAGGTTTTCTAAACTTCTTTGAGTATCGAGACACTGATAGCATCAATTTGCACCATTCCAATTTTCAGTCTGACATCTGTGATATTTGCAATTTCTTTAAAATTAAAAGTTTCAGAAAAAAGATGCTAACAATATCTAAAACCTTTATGATATTGATGTCAAAACAATTTGAATAACATCTTTACAATTTGTTTCTGTGTGATGCACCACGTCAAGACAAAATTAAAAAATCAACAAGAGATATGAACTTAGATTACTCTTTCAATGTGTTTCTCAAGTCAAAAAATCCTCATCAAGATGAAGCATGCAGTAAAAGAGGGCTGTTTTGTGACATGTAGACTCACCATCAGGGTCACCAACATTTAATGGATCTGGAGGTTTAAAGAATGACTTGGCTCTAATTGCTCCATCTATAGATAGTATTGGAGTCTTCATATTCTTGTAAGTCACCTGCACTAGTCCAGCAGCAATGTTGGCTTGCATCTGATCCTCTGTAATAGAAAAATTACATCCATCACAAGGAGAAAACTTAATTTCTCCAATAGCCAGTTTTTGGGTATTATGTCCAAGTCAAGGGCAATAACTTCAAACATGCATGTTCATATATCTCCATCAACTGTTAAAACTTAATAATTTACAAATTTACAAAACTCATATATTGCTGAACACTGGGACTTCTGGGAGAAACAATTAAGTCACAATTATGACTTCTCTGAAGCTGGCTGTCTGTTCCGCCAGACTTTGGACACAGACCACAAGTAAATCTAGGTAGAAAGAGTTACCTGCCACTATCAGACCCAGAGGCTGGCCTGCATATATAACTTTACCACTACAAAATACCTGAAATATACCATTTGCAACCGTCAAATTCAACATAAATTGTGCTCAGTTCTGGCCCTTAGCTAGCCCAGGGTCTCGGGGGGAGGGGCCAAATTTATTGAAGGGGGGCTCAACAGGTCATTCAAGTCATCTAAATTTTATTAGGGGGGAACTGGCTCCCCCTGGCCTCACTGTAGCTACAAGCCTGGCTCAGCCATATTTGTAAAAACCTAGGCCGCATGATGCAAGTCGGAGGGGCTAACATGAAAAAGCCTAAATCATATCAAATGGGATAATAAACCTGTGTGCTACAGACTTCACACATTAAAGATCCCCAAATAGTTTGCAATATAAAAAAACAGCAAGCTGATGGCACTGTCCTGACAAATTTTCCTCATTGCACAATCAGTGACGTTGGTCTAAGCAATTGACGCCTCATAAATACTAATAATTTCAAATGGATTGTACATGATTACCTCTTCCTCTATGACCAGTAAACGTTCTGGATAACAATTGTTGACTCCACCTTGGGGAATATCTTTGGATGTCAGAAACTTTAATACACCAGGCATAGACTGAAATACACAAATTTAATAATATCGCTTAGTTTTTTTTTCTTAATTTGTCCCTATCACAAAAACTGCTAATAAAAACCTCAGAACCTTTGCGATAGTAACTTTACAAAATGCTTAGTTTGGGAATGGAAAGAACCACAGACGTTTGATTGAAAATTGGAATGGTGCAAATCAATGCTATCAGTGTCCCTAAAAAACAGTGTCCTTGAGACAGGTTTGGGGGATTTTAAACTCACCAAAGCTAGAGAAGCATCCATTGAGTCAATTTCAGCATTAGCAACAGAACTGATAACATAGGCAGCATAGACTTCATTAGGTTGTGGTGGTGTGTCACTGATATACTCCGCCTCACCAGTCGTCTACAAAATAAACATAATCTTAAAGGGATATTGTCGTGTAAATCAGCTTTATTCACTGACAGACACCAATTTCAACTAGCCATATAACTTCTAGAATTAACAGTACATGACTAGTTAAACTGCAATTAAAAGAGAGAGCAACTGCAGAAAGAAATGATCTTCAGGTTTGGCTAAGGACCTTCAAGTAGACAGAATCCTCATAGATGAAGTAGACAAGAACATTGAGTACCATTTGGTAGACGGAATCTTCCAGCAAGGACCATCTCAAGATAAACTCATTGAGGTTTGACCACGGATAATCTGCTACACAGAATCCTCCGGGTTTGGCCACAGGCCATCTTAGACAGGATCCTTAAGAATCTAAGTTGTTATCCTTGTAAAATTTCTTGATGATTTTCAACAACAAACCAGAAGGAAAACTTACCTGTAAGGTGCCATCAACTTTAGGTATGGCTTTGGATACTGGGAATTCAGCGGGTAGGCTGTCAAAAGTCTGTTGTCCTGACGATACAGGACGGGTTAACCCGGCTGAACCACTTTGATATTTCTTATTGACAATACTATCACAAACTCCCAATACATACTGAGAAAAAAATAACGATTTTTGATCATTAGAATTGAAGAGAAACAGGGGCAAGAACAATAACTGTTATGTAACCCATGAAAGTCCTGAAATACCACATTTTGAATAACTTGCTTACTGTCAGCATTTTCCTTTATGTTTTTAACCTGAGTGTAAATAAAATATGTCATATACCCTGAACTCTAAGTAATAAAAGTAAAAGTGTATGATGTTAACTTTGTATGACATCACTTAGCAACAGCCAGTTTACCAGCTGATCGGGTATATATTGCGTTGGTGTGTGGCTGGTAAACATGCCTCTAGGGTTGAAAGGGTTAACTATCCCCTCACCAAATTTTATGTCAGTAGGCTACATACCTTATAGAATAATGATATAGCTACACTTTTCCTATAAGAGGCTGGAGTGAGAGAGGTTTCAGCATCTGGTATTAGCTCTTTAGCCAGAGTCTGTAGAGCACCTGAAAAAACAGGAATAGATGGAACAATTGAGATGAAATACAACACAGTGTTGGACTCATGAAATGAACAGACCTCACAACAAGAGTAGGAATTTGCTTTGTCATTTAAATTTCCAATTTTTGTCATGCAAATCTGAAGCTGATATTTTCAGAAGATATACCTATACCAGATTTATTCCAGGATAAGATTAGGTGTGCATTATATTCACAATTATACTGTATATATTCAGACCAGAGATTTAATTCATATCTTACCATTTAAAACAGTGGAATCACCTAGTGATTTGCCTACTAAATAATCTTCAGTCTGGCTAGCATGAGTCTACAATTAAATATATAGTCTTTAAGCTACTATCACAGTACATTATACATTGTATCCTACTTTCCTAATGTGGGCTAATGAAGAAGAGCAACATCAATGCAGTGTGCAATGAAGGGAATTCAGCAGAGTTTTTGATCTTTAACTGTAGGGGGATCTTAAATATTCAACCTTCAGTTAAGCATGTTGTTATCAAACTCACTGAGCCGTTACAGCAAAATATTCTACAATGCAGCAAAGACTCTTAAATATCATTGATAAGTAAAGTATGTAGACCAATATAAAAACTTACAAAAGTTTTGTTGATCCCAACGTAAACAATTGTAGGTTTGGTTAAAACTTTATAGTTCTGGCCAGCATCTATATTCATATTAAAACCAGCTGACACGTAAGTATGGGCATTCTGAAAAATAATATTTCTATTTTCAATAACAAAAGATATCAGAAATATAAGAGATACATACATGGAAGAAAATGGTGTACCAAGTTTATATGCTGGGCTAAGTATGGTAGGGTCAAGGAATATGTGATATTACCACTCAACTTTTGATGCCATCGAGAAAATTCCAACTGAACATGATTTACAGAAGAAATTCGTCAGATCATGGGTGGCAGGTGAATATACCTGCATATAACATATGAAATGAGCAACAAATCAAAAATTGCACTCCTGCTCTAGAGAGTCCACATAGCTATGAGGTAGGCCTCGATACTATGGGGGTCATTGTCATGCTGCTTGTACTTTTATGTCCGGATGGACTGCAGAGATTATCCAGATTAACTGGAGGGGAAGAAAGTGTGCATTCTATTCGCAGTTATACAGTATATCTATTACCTGATGTCTTGGCATGGTCTTAATAGTTCTGATGATGTTTGAAGTTCCATTAAAAGAAGGTATTTTAGCCATAACAATGACTTTCCCCGTCATATCTAACGCCAGAAATTCACTGATGGAATAACTGCTTTCTTTCCCTGTCTCATCAGCTGAAAAAGCAAACAGAATCATATTATGCATAATGTTGAATTAACGTCAGTAAGGGTGTTGGAATCTTTATATAGTGGTCAGTGTGTGTAAGGCATCTTTCCTCAATATTCCATCCAGCCATTTTAAGTCAGGGTTTATATGCACCCACGCCAGTTTGACTTGATGTTTTATATATTGATGATATACTGTTGAGTAATTTCAGAAAGTTGACCAAACTTACCAATGACAAGCTGAGCATTAATAGCCTCGAATATAACATAAATATCAGATACAAACTCTGGATGGTAGTATTTCATCATCAGATTACCAGCCCATGTTCCTAACTGCATACACAAATGAATATAAATAGAGAAAGCCTGAGTAACAACATGTTTCAGGTTCTGTTTTAATATTTTCTGATATTGCTCTACAATTGGCACAATTGGGTACTATTTTATCAGCGAAAAACATTTTGTATTAATACATAAATTTGTGACACTGAGGGACAGACAGATGTGCTGCCACCATATTGGTGAACATCAAAAGCAAGCTGGCATTAAAACAAACTCCAACCTACATTCCTAACAGAAGTGGTAGCCACCAAATCTAAATGTTGACAAATGCTGTCGTAAAACTGTTTCAGAGCTGGATCGCTGGTTTGTTGCGAAGTAAAATATTCCAGTAGATTTGTTAACGTCATATTAGATCCAATTGTAGTCCCTGATGATCCAGTCTGAAAAACAAGAATATATTGAAGTGTAGAAAAGCTTATCAGTATGTGACATCACTATCGTTGATAAAAGGACCATTGTGGTAGGTTTTTCATAAAGCACATAGTTTTAGAGAAATTGTAGGAACCACAGACATCTGAAAATGTGACTGGTATAAATTTATGCTATCAGTGTCCTTGATACATGTAAAAAATTTAAAAAACCTCTTTAAACTCCCTTTAAGTTATAAATTGGCTCCTCAAGTGATCTTTTTCAAGTTTGACATGTTGAAAATCTGCTGTTTGGTCAGGGACTAGCTAGTAGAAAGGATCCTTTGTGAAGCTCAGTTTTTCTCAATGTAAATCATAGTTGTTCTTTTTTTTCCAGGTAAACAGAGACTCAGTACTCACAATGAGGGAGTAATACTCCTGAACACCACGTAAATCTATAATTACATCATAATTCCAGTCTCCTAAATCTTTATAGACACCTACAATTATAAACAATACACCAGATAACATCTTGGACTGTCCAAATTTCAGTATTTTCACTTGGTTATTGTCCTTGTCAAAGAATAGTAGCCCTCTGCGTTTTTAACCTATTTTCCGAAAACTTAGAATAAATGCACAAAATCCTAATTGGAATTTGATAATTTTCAGATGATTAAAAATGAGTTATTGCCCTTGTCTATGAATATTGCAATTATTAAAGCCCCTGTGTTTTTCTTATAACTTGGAGTATCTGCATATAATCCAAAATGGAAGATGTAGCTTTATGTTGATATTTTTGAGATGATTAGAAACAGAGTTATTGCCCTTGTCCACGAATAATGAACAAATCAAAAGTGTTGAGATTACCATAAGCAGAATTTCCAAAAACAAGTCTGTATTTCTGTGTTTTATATTGGGCAAGTAAGGAATATAATTCTTGTTTGGTGGTTGGTTTAAACCATTGAGCTCCCGCTGTGACTATTTGAAGCATCTTATTGGCTTCATTAGTGGTGGAACATTTCCCTTGACACTTTTCACCAGTCTTTTTACAAATCTTACCATCTAATTCCTACATAGAAATGATTGAAATGAGAACTGTTAAAGTCATGCAGTGTTCAATGAGGAAAATTGTACCATAACACAATCTAATGATATGGTGCTTTAATATATTAATAATTGCAATGGGGGAAATTTTACCTGAAGAGCTTCTCATGCTTATTACAATTATTGTTGAAGCCCTGCGTTTAGTAATATAACAAAAGGAGTGTGGAAATGAGGAAATTTAACCATAACAACTTGTTGTTTTAAGCCCTTCACCAAACACAGCAACATCATGCAGTGTGCACATTTCACCCTTATAGTTTGTTCAGTGTATTACAATTAAAATAAAATTTTGTTTTCAGCCCTTCACAGTGTGCAATGAGGGAATTTTTACCAGAAAGAGCTTTTTAAACTATTTACAATTGAAATGAAAAGTTGACAGTTAACAGCAATATATTTCCATACTTCCATTGGTTCAAGGGTCCAAAAGCTTCTCAGTTAGCCATGGTTGAACCGTTTTCAAAAGCTTTGAGAAGACAATTATTTACTTATCATTAAAGGCCTTGGGGTAATGGTTAAATTTGTGAGTTGTCTGCCAACAGAACAAAATGCGTTCAATGTCCCTTACCTCTATATCAATCAGTCCAGTTGGCAAACCATTAGAGCAGGAATCTGGGGTAAAAGATTTCATGGCATCCAAAATAGAGCGAAATCCTGAAAAAAATAAACATGGTGGGATTAAAAATGTTTTGGGATTTGGGCTAATGAAGACAGCCACTGCCATGCACTGTGCAATTAATGAAATTAGCTAGGTTAGCAGCGTTTCCAGATCCAAAATGCCACTGTGTTTGGGTTTGGTTGGGGGTGAAATTTCAAAATCTAATTACCTGTACATCTGCATACTGATACATTCAACATATCTTCTACTTCTTCCTTGGAAGGTTTCGGATTCGTTTGAAGTAAACTATAAGAAAATTAATCTTTTTCAAAAACTTGTCTAAAGAATAAACCACAGCTCTGGCCAGAAGAGTCAGTTTCATAAACTTGACTTGAAAATACAACTACTGCTATTCAAAACCTTTCAATAATTAATTAATTTATGCAAATTTATGGGCCAAGACATACCTATACATATTCATGACTTGTGCAGGACTACAGAAACCACATTGGGTGCCGTTATAATCAGCTAGACGTTGCTGGATCGGGTGAATTCCATCCCGTGTATTACCCAGTCCTTCTATAGTAGTAATTTCCCAGCCATCACACATATATACGGGAACAATACACTACAAATAAAAATTTAGTCCCATCTACCCTTCGTGTAAAAACCATGTTCCCTTGAGTTTGATTATAGAGGGGTTGCCTGTACATTATTCACCAGTTTTGTGCATGTGTTTATTTATAGAAAGCCGTAACATTAAGATAAAAATTCAAAAAGGAGATAAGGCCCACCACCCTTATCAATGAATAAATGGAACATAGGTTATCTAAGGTAAATATAAATCAATCAAAACATATAAGAGGGGTTGCCCGTACTCAAATATCATTCATGTTTTGTGCTTGTGTTTATACATAGAAAACAAAACATCATGCAAGCATGTTGATTGAACGGTTTGAAAATCATAAAACATCCCAAATTCAAAATTATTCTAAAATAACTTACTGAATTAACTGTATAGTGGCGAGGTTGCAGAGTCAAGGCATCTACAATTTTAGCAGAAACAACACAGACACCACATCCCCCTTCTATACACATTTTCTTAGTACCATACGATATCCCTTTCTTTCTCAGAAACTCATTTAATGACGTAGTAGGCTCAAACTCGTTTCCAACTGAAATGAATTTGACAAGGGATACACAAAGACAGAAAACATGAGTTGCGTTCACAGACTTTCTGTCGAAGCCCCTGATTGGCTGTATTCGCTAGCATACCAATCCAATCAAATCGTTTCATTTACAAACTTTCATGAAAAGGTGACTATTGCAGCGAAGGTATAAGAATGAAGTCTGTAATAGCATGACATTGAGAATGAAAATGGTCACATGAATGCAGACAGTTTCCCTATTATGATATGATCATCTAATTATTCACTTTAAATATTTTCAAGAAAGGCAGAACTTTTGATTTAAAGGGACAATTTATACCAGCTATAAATATCACTTTTTAGAATGAAAATCCAATATTTGATTCAAAAAAACATACTGGAAGAAGAGATATTCTTAATCTTAAAATTACCTGTAACATCTTGACCATTGATTTTAAAACTAAAACTGGAGCGTACAGGTTGGGTTGTACGAAATTTAAAAAAATGGCCACAGTTGAGACAGTCAGCTGCATAAACACCATTGCTCAGATTGGAAGGTGCAGGTATATGTCTAATAGAAGAAGAACAAATTTATTCAAAAATAATAAAATAAAAAAAATAACATCATCAAATATTAAGAAGTTTAGTAAATTAATTAGTAGATCATCTACCTCACAAGATAACATAGAACAACTCATCTGCCTCTATTCCAGTCTCTGATAGCTATTTTGATAGTTGTCAGCTAGAGAAGAGACAGAAAAATAGGCTCTGTTATGAGGGTACTTTCTGCATCTTCGAATAGCTATCAGAGGCTGGCATAAAAACATAAATTCAATCAATGACATTTTCTTAATCACAACCGAATATAAAGTCAGCTTGACGATGGGCGGGGGTCAATAGTTTATCGGGACTTCAACTTCTAGATAACACACACAAAAAAAACAACTAACCTGGCTCTGCAAACAGGACAGTTCACAAATCCCAGATCATTAGCCTTCAATGACATTGCGGCATCAATTTTGTGTTGTGATCTTCTGATTTTCTGACCACAGGACAAGCTTCGTTCAAATCGGTGAGCAATTTGTTATTGAAGTCATGCACTACTGTCTCCGACGACCATTTTGTTAGTCACGTGAAAGGCCTGATCATGTGTTATCTATATATCACATGACTTCATATCTTAAAACTTTGATTGGTTTATTTAGGATTTTTGCGGGAAATCTTAATGGCGAAAATAGCTGTTTAAGGTGAAAAATAGCATAACATTTGCAGGAAAATTGTAAAAATGAAAAAAAAGAAAATACAATTAGCGCCATATCTGGGATTCGAACTCGCGTCACGTGATTCCATAACTCAAAACTTTGATTGATTTGTTTAGGATATTTGCGGGAAATTTAAATGGTGAAAATAGCTGTTTTAGGTGAAAAATAGCATAACATTTGCAGGAAAATTGTAAAAATGGACAAAAAAAGAAAGTTCAATTAGCGCCATATCTGGGATCCGAACTCGCTTCGCGTAAGCCCATAACTCAAAACTTTGATTGATTTGTTTAGGATATTTGCGGGAAATTTAAATGGTGAAAATAGCTGTTTTAGGTGAAAAATAGCATAACATTTGCAGGAAAAAACGGAAAAATGAGAAAAAAAGAAATTACTATTAGCGCCGTATCTGGGATTCGAACTCGCGTCGCGTAAGCCCATAACTCTAAACTTTGATTGATTTGTTTAGGATATTTGCGGGAAATTTGAATGGTGAAAATAGCTGTTTTAGGTGAAAAATAGCATAACATTTACAGGAAAATTGTAAAAATGGAAAAAAAAGAAAGTTCAATTTGCAGCATATCTCGGAATCGAACTCGCGTCGCGCAAGCCCATAACTCAAATCTTTGATTGATTTGTTTAGGACATTTGCGGGAAATTTAAATGGTGAACATATCTGTTTTAGGTGAAAAATAGCATAAAATTTGCGGGAAAATTGTAAAAATGGAAAATAAAGAAAGTTCAATTAGCGCCATATCTGGGATTTGAACTCGCTTCGCGCAAGCCCATAACTCAAAACTTTGATTGATTTGTTTAGGACATTTGCGGGAAATTTAAATGGTGAAAATAGCTGTTTAAGGTGAAAAATAGCATAACATTTGCAGGAAAATTGTAAAAATGGAAAATAAAGAAAGTTCAATTAGCGCCATATCTGGGATTTGAACTCGCTTCGCGCAAGCCCATAACTCAAAACTTTGATTGATTTGTTTAGGATATTTGCGGGAAATTTAAATGGTGAAAATAGCTGTTTTAGGTGAAAAATAGCATAACATTTGCAGGAAAAAACGGAAAAATGAAAAAAAAAGAAATTACTATGAGCGCCGTATCTGGGATTCGAACTCGCGTCGCGTAAGCCCATAACTCTAAACTTTGATTGATTTGTTTAGGATATTTGCGGGAAATTTAAATGGTGAAAATAGCTGTTTAAGGTGAAAAATAGCATAACATTTGCAGGAAAAAACGCAAAAATGAGAAAAAAAGAAATTACTATTAGCGCCGTATCTGGGATTCGAACTCGCGTCGCGTAAGCCCATAACTCAAAATTTGATTGATTTGTTTAGGATATTTGCGGGAAATTTAAATGGTGAAAATAGCTGTTTTAGGTGAAAAATAGCATAACATTTGCAGGAAAATTGTAAAAATTGAAAAAAAAGAAAGTTCAATTAGCGCCATATCGGGGATTCGAACTCGCGTCGCGCAAGGGCATAATTCAAAACTTTGATTGATTTGTTTAGGATATTTGCGGGAAATTTAAATGGTGAAAATAGCTGTTTTGGGTGAAAAATAGCATAACATTTGCAGGAAAAAACGGAAAAATGAGAAAAAAGAAATTACTATTAGCGCCGTATCTGGGATTCGAACTCGCGTCGCGTAAGCCCATAACTCAAAACTTTGATTGATTTGTTTAGGATATTTGCGGGAAATTTAAATGGTGAAAATAGCTGTTTTAGGTGAAAAATAGCATAACATTTGCAGGAAAATTGAAAAAATTGAAAAAAAAGAAAGTTCAATTAGCGCCATTTCGGGGATTCGAACTCGCGTCGCGCAAGCCCATAACTCAAAAATTTGATTGATTTGTTTAGGATATTTGCGCGAAATTTAAATGGTGAAAATAGCTGTTTTAGGTGAAAATAGCATAACATTTGCAGGAAAATTGTAAAAATGGAAAAAAAAGAAAGTTCAATTAGCGCCATATCTGGGATTCGAACTCGCGTCGCGTAAGCCCATAACTCAAAACTTTGATTGATTTGTTTAGGATATTTGCGGGAAATTTAAATGGT